CCTTCTCCTCCTGGTGTTGCGCTAAGCAGACCCCAGCCAACACGACGCGCCGCGGCACGGCCACCTGCGACGTGCTCGGCGCGGGGGGACAGCCCCCGCGTTGACGGTAGACGTGGTGCTGCCCGCTGGCGTGCACGAGCCTGTGCCGTGTCTGGCAAGGACTTCCGCTGTTGTCGCTGCTACCGCGTCGCCAGGACGCGTGATGGCTACACGCCTGCGGCGCGCAGCCCAGGTGGTGGCACCCGCGTATGGTACGTGGGCCGCTTCCTTTTCTGCGCGAGGTGCGGAGCGCACTCGAGCGAGAACGCTCAGCTCCTCGCGCAGCCTTGCCTCGGGGTTGTGCCCCCAGACGCGACCCCGCCTGGGTCGCCTGTGGGAGGGCAAGCACCCGCGCACTGGTTTTCTTCTGCCCTTGGCCACCGACCAAGTTAGGCCTCGGCCGTTCGCGGATTTCGTCCTCGACAGCCTGGCTGGTGACCTGGCAGTCCTGGACGAGGCTGCGGACGGCCTGCTGGCACTCCCCTTTGGGGAGGTGCTCGGGCCCTTTTAACTCACGGTCGGGCTTCCCGAGCCGCCTAGCTGTGCCTGCACGCTTGGCGCCGCGCCTGATGAAAAAACTCATCCTCCTCCTCCTCCTCCTCCTCCTCCTCCTCTCCTCCTCCTCCCTCCTCCTCCTCCTTTCCTCCTCATGTTCCTCCTCCTCCTCCTCCTCCTCCTCCTCCTCCTCCTCCTCCTCCTCCTCCTCCTCCTCCTCCCTCCTCCCTCCTCCTCTCCTCCTCCTCCTCCTCCTCCTCCTCCTCCTCTCCTCCTCCTCCTCCTCCTCCTCCTCCTCCTCCTCCTCCTCCTCCTCCTCCTCCTCCTCCTCCTCCTCCTCCTTTCCTCCTCCTTCTGAGAAGTCGGAGGGTGGTTTTGCGCTGATAGCAATGGCGGCCAAAGTCGTCGTCAAGACCTGCGCCGCGAATGCCTTCAAGGACGAGCTCTGGGGGCGCATTCGTGCGGAGCGCCAGGGGCGGCATGCGGACTGGCCCCGAAGCATGGCTCGGGCAGCCCCCCAGGAGCTCCCCTCCCCCGCCAGGGGCCCCAGAGGGTGCCAGCAGGCCACAAAGGGGTCCCCAAAAAGAGGCCTCTAAGAGGCCCCTCAACTGACACCACGAGGCCTGTCAGAGACCTCTAGTCAACGGCCGAGGCTCGGTGGAGGGATGGAACGAAGATGGTCAAATGATCCACTCCTGATTCTACCATACGTCAGTCTCTGCGCGCCGTGACTATGATATATGTTCGTCCTCGTCGGAATCGTCGTTGTCATCATGGTATTATTGTTGACGACGCTCCTCCGCATGATCCCTGTCCTCCCCCCACCCCACCATGTTCGTTCATCAATATTGTCACCATCCTAACCATCAATATCCTCATCGCCACCACAGCCAAGAACAACAGCATCACCATAATCAGCAGCACCGGCATCATCATCATCATCATCATCATCATCATCATCATCATCACCACCATCATCATCATCATCAACATCGTCATCCGCAACATCACCATCCTCATCAGCAGTATCATCATCGTCGTTACCATCATCATCAGCATCCGAAGCATCACCCGTATCACCACACTCATCATCGTCATCCGCATCTTCATCATCACCGTCACCATCATGTAGCCTCGTCACCCACACCCTCAACATCATCAACATTAGCATCATATTCACCGTCATCATCCTTATCCTCGATCGTCATCACTCTGCCACACAATCATCGCCATCACGCTCACCACCCTAAGCGTCACCAGCAGCAGCCGCAGCATCATCATCATCATCACTACCAACAGCACCATCATCATCAGCAGCATCAGCATCATCAGTATAATTATCAACAATCCTGTGGTGTTGGGTCTTCATTTTGAAGAGACAGCGCCCGCGTCCTCCTTCATTCCGTCCTTCTCCTCCCGCGGCATCCCTTCCTCCCCCTCCTTGCCTCTGCCCTCCGCATGTATCTCTGTCGGCGCACCCCTCACACGCTTCGTGGCCCCACAAGGAGCTCAAACTACGGTCCCAGTGGCGGAACTCGCATGCGGCCCCCGCACCCATTTTGGCACACCCCTCACACGCTTCGTGGCCCCACAGGGAGCTCCACCTAAGGTCCCAGTGGCGGAACTCGCATGCGGCCCCCGCACCCATTTTGGCACACCCTTCGCACGCTTCCTGGCCCCATAGGGAGCTCCACCTAAGGTCCCAGCGGCGGAACTCGTACGCGGTCCCCGCACCCATTTCGGCACACCCCTCAACCGCTTCCTGGTCCCATAGGGAGCTCCACCGCAGGCCCCAGTGGCGGAACTCGCATGGCGGCCTCGGGCCATTTCGGCATACCCCTCACACGTTTCGTGGCCCCATAGGGGCGCCGTCCTCGTCGTCGTCGGCGCCCGCGAAGACGGTCGCAAACGTGTACCTGAGCATGTCGGGCTCTGGCGGGAAGCCGTGGCCACATAGGAAGCGTGGGCGAAGATGGTATTCACAATCGCGGTACTCACAACTGCGTATGGTTGGGTCTTTCGCCAGGCGAATTATCTTTTCAATAAAAACATCGTGACCATCTTCAGCGCTAGCATCGCCACCACCACCACCACCACCAGCATCATCACCACCACTACCATCATCATAATCATCAGCACCATCACCATCACCATCACCATCACCATCACCATCATCATCATCATCATCATCATCATCATCATCAGCATCATCATCATCATCCTCATCATCATCATCATCATCATCATCATCAGCAGCATCATCATCATCACCATCACCATCAGCAGCAGCAGCATCACACGCCTTATCCTCCTGCTCACGACGCACCCGTCACTTCTTTGTCCTCCGCATCCTCCCCAGATTCCTCCCACTCCCCATCATCACCATCGTCGCTCCTCACCCCTCACCCTCGCACTCACCACTCCCTCACTCGCCCAACGGCCCCCGCAGACGATTGGACATGCTGCAGGGGGGGAGGGCGATCAGGCGGCAGCTCCTGCCAGCCCGCCCAGCGTGCCGGCGCCGTCGAACGTGGTCGGCGCCCAAGGGTTGAAGCCCCGCGGGGGCTCCTGGAAGGACGGCAGGGCGCAAGCAGAGCCAGACCGCCACGACCCCTCTCCAGCAGGAAGGGGAGGCGGAGAGGGGTGGAAGGGAGGAGCGAGAGACGGAGACGAGGAGAATGGCTCCTGGCGCACGCATGCTCGACCCGCGCGGCCTCGTCCCAAGGCAGACGTATCAACGGAGGCTGGCGACTTAGGATTCCCATCGGAAGCGCTTGCATGTTCTGTGCGTGTCGTCGCAAGAGCACCATCACTCACAAAAAAGAAGAGATATCCTCGGAGGCTGGCGACTTGTGGACCCCAACGGAAGCGTTTGCATGCTCTGCGTCTGTCGTCGCAGGGGGATCATCGTGATGATGATGAGTGTCCTGAAAAGCTGGTTTGGCAAACCGATGGATACACATGGAGCACGGGCCGTCCACATGTGCATCCAGCCCGAGGCCCCGACTAACACTGCACATGGATCCAGCCATGGCCTTTTCCACCACCGGACACGGGCTGCGCAGAATGTGATGCACTTAGCTCTACTTCCCGATGCGCCTTCAAATCGCTGAGCGCCAGGGCCCGCGGGTGGGGGTCCCCAGTTTCACGGCGCATCCCAGGTGTCCTCCTCCTCCTCCTCCCCACCGCCCTCCTCAGACCCCCGAGGCTAAGCACACCACCCCAAGGCCCCCTCAGACCTCGTCGCCCTCATCACGGGGGGCCCCTGCGGATCCCCTCAATGCCTCCGTAGGCCGCCAGAGGCTTCCGCGCAGCTTGGTAACACAGTCTCCGGGATCCAGACGGAGAGGGAGGGGGCAGAAAGCCTCCTCGAGGAGCCGGCGGTGCTGCACGCCAAGTTGGCATGAAGCAGGCGGACCCTGGCGGAAACGGATCTGGAAACCCTGGGCCTTCCCGCGGGACCAGCTCTCCATCCAGAGACGCGTTTTGGCGATCCATCGGGGCCCAGGCAGAGTGCCAGCAGGCCAAGACGCAAGCCCCCGCAACTGTTTCCATCAGGACCCCTCTGCTCCATTGGGAGGGGCTCGATGTAGTCCTGAAAAGTCTTTAGAACACCCCCCCATAAGGGGGTAACTAGTTATTTGCTCGGGGGCCTAATTGAAGGACTGGGGTCCCACCAATAGGGTGTAATTAAGTTGTTTGTTTGCCGCGGCACCCGCCGTGCAGCGACGAGGAGGAGGAGGTCAGCATCTGGCGGCATGCCGCCTGGTGGCCTCGACCGAGGCTCGGAGTGTAGCGCTGCGGGCGGCCACAGTGTGCTGCATCCTCGCCTGCAGCAACTTGCCGAGAAGCCATAGCGCATGCTGCCACGCCCCGTCCTTCTCGCAGTCAATGATGGCGGCTTCGTGCAAGTCGAAATCGGGCTCCACTTCCACCTCAACCGCCTTGACGAGCAGCGATAGGGCCCGCTGCCACTGCTTCCCGTTCCTACAAGCGTTGGTTCCATCCTTGTAGCTGATGATCGTGGGCTCAAGCTTTCATTCCACTATCTCGTTAAACAGCAACAGGGCCCGCTGCCACTGCTTGCCTTTATCACACGCGCTGATCCCAGCGTTGTAGCTGATGGTATCGGGCTCCAACTTCGTCTCGACCATCTCGCCGAGCAGCGCCCCCGCTGCCACTGCTCGCCCTACGCGCGCGCACTGATCCCAGCGTTGTAGCTGATGAAAGTGGGCTCCAGAGACGCCTCACACATCTCGCTCAGCAGCGCCAGCGCCCGCTGCCACTGCTTGCCTTTCGCGCGCGCGCTGATCCCAGCGTTGTAGCTGATGGTATCGGGCTCCAACTTCGTCTCGACCATCTCGCCGAGCAGCGCCCCCGCTGCCACTGCTCGCCCTACGCGCGCGCGCTGATCCCAGCGTTGTAGCTGATGAAAGTGGGCTCCAGAGACGCCTCACACATCTCGCTCAGCAGCGCCAGCGCCCGCTGCCACTGCTTGCCTTTCGCGCGCGCGCGCTGATCCCAGCGTTGTAGCTGATGACAGTGGGCTCCAGAGACACCTCACACATCTCGCTCAGCAGTTCCAGCGCCCGCTGCCACTGCTTGCTCTTCGCGCACGCGCTGATCCAAGCGTTGTAGCTGAGGACCTTCGGCTCCGACATCGCATCCCGCAACTCGCTGATCCGCTGTCGACATTGGGCTCCAACTTCGCAATCAATATATCGCTGAGCAGTGGCATGACCCGCTTTCAATGCACGCCTCTCTCTCTCTCTATCGCTCTCTCTCTCTCTCTCTCTCTCTTTCTCACACATGCTGATCTCACCGCTGCAGCCAACCAGGGCGGATCCGTGCAATGTTATGCGGAGCAGCGCTTCTGCTGCGCGATAGAAGCAACTGTCAAATCCACAATGCGGATGTCCGTCCACGAAATCAAAATGGTTGCCCAGCAAGTGTTCACACGCACAGTGCTTCGCAAGACACGCAAAAACGCGAAAGACCGATCCCAAGATAGCCTGGAAATCCTGCCGAGTCGAGAGACGACCTCTCATAAGCTGTGGTGCACATGTTGCAACTGATGTCGCTCGTCTCCACATTGCACTCCCGCATCTCGCTGAGCAGCGACAACGCATGCCGCCACTGGCCGCATCTCTCACACGCGCAGGTCGCAGCGTTGTAGCTGATGTCGTTGGGCTCCAGCTTAGCCTCCCGCATCTCGCCCAGCAGCGCAAGCGCCCGCTGCCACTGCTCGCCCTTCTCGCACGCGCTGATCCCAGCGCCGTAGCTGACTAGGGCTGACCCGTGGACTCCGTCCACGACATCTTTCTGGAGTGGTTCTCGGAGGAACAGTGGAGATTTGCGGAAAACCTATAAGCACGGCGGCGGCCGGGGCGGCGAGTGTCCGAGCTCTAGCAGCGCTCCAGCAGCTTGGCCGTCGCGGGGCCGCCGTCGTCGCCGTCATCGTCGGCGATGTTAGCGTCGCCGCCGCGAGGCCGCCGTCGTATCCGTCGTAGACGGCGTCGTTGCCGTGGTGGTGGTTGGCGTCGTCGTGGGTTGTGGACACCGGAAGAAGGCTGGCGAAGTCGGCAGGACTGACCCATGGACTCCGTCAAAGAGGCCCCCAGGAAGGCTGCAGGAGCGAGGCACGTCAGGGCCCCAAGAGGCCCGGGAGAAGGCTCGTGAACGACCAAAAATGAAATGGATTTTGGGCCAAATCTGGCAGGGAGCGCCGAGCAAGCGTCAGGAAGGCCGAAGAGCCCTATGCGGAGCTGTCAGAATCGGCGCCTGGGCCCCCCCCCTGTAGAAGCGCACCAGTGTTGTCTGCTGCGTCCAGCCGTGGTGGCGAGGAGCCCTCCTGAAGGCGAACTGTCTGTGGGTGAACTCTGCCTCCGCCGATTTCGTCTGGCCCGAGCCTGGGCAGAGGCTGGCATCCTCTCTGCGTCCATCGCCTGGGCCGCCTCTTGGAAGCACGCCAAGATCCTGCGCCACCCAAACACCTCGCGGCGCTGCGCCGCGCGAGGCCCGGTAACCTTCGCGCCCTTGTGCCCGCACCCTCGGAGACGGGCAGCGCTCCGTATGCAGCCACGAGCCGTGTGAGGGGTGCGCCGAGCTGGAGGGTAGAACCGCTGCCCGCCCTTCTCTGACACAACATTGGTTTCGTCTCCACCCTCCATCTCCGCAGAAACGAAACCCAGGACCCCAGAGTAAGCGCCGAAGCGCAGGTTTGCGAAAGACGTCTCGCCAGAACCCTGGAGCCCACCTGGGACCTTGAAGAATAAACCTCGAGCGTGGTGTTTATTTTCCGTCGACGTGGCGGGCCGAGGGACGGTCTTAGGGGGCGTTTTCTCGGCCGACCGCGGGACCCCGGAGAATGGCGTCCGAGGTTACGGAGTCTTTTTCGTGGGCGTCGTTGATCCACGAACGATCCGTGCGAGACGTCTGTGCCCCATCTGGAGCCTGGGGGTGAACCTTCAGAGTTGATACTGGCATTCTTCCGAGCCGACGAACGTCCTGGGCGAAGATTATTTGCTCCGCCCCAGGGTGTCGGATAACAACCTCCAAGTCTGGGTTAATTTTCCGTGGGTGTGGCCGCGCCCCAGGTAATGCATTGGGAGGTTAGAGACGAAACACCGCAGAAACGAAATCCAGAACTCCAGAGTAAGCGTCAAAGCGCAGGTTGAAGACAGACATCTCGCCAGAACCCTGGAGCCCACCTGGGACCTCGGAGAATAAAGCTCGAGCGTGGTGCTTATTTTCCGTCGACGTGGCGGGCCGAGGATTGGTCTTGGGTTTTTTGGGGGGGCGACCGCGGGACCATGGAGAATGGCCTCGGAGGTTAAGGAGTCTTCTTCGTGGGCGTCATTGATCCACGAACGATCCGGGGGAGATGTCTGCGCCCCATCTGGAGCCTGGGGGAAGACTTCGAAAGAGGTACTGGCATTCCGTGGACGTGGCGAGTCGACGAACGTCCTGGGAGAGGGTTGGTTGCTCCGCCCCAGAGCGTCGGAAAATAAACCTCGAAATCGGGGTTTACTTTCCGTGGGTGTGGCCGCGCCCCGGGGCCTCTGTTCCGCCTTGTAAGAAGCTCTTGGGGCCCTGGTGGGCCGTCTTGCGGCCTCCTGGGAGCCTCTTGGGGCCCTCTTGGGCCGTCTCGGGTGCCCCTTGGGCCGTCTAGGGGCCGTCAGGGACCGTCTTGGGCGGCTCCGGGGCTGTCCTCGGACCGCCTTGGGGCTCTCTTAGGTCGTCTTTAGGACCGTCGCGGCGCTGTCATGGCAGCCTCTTGGGCTGCCATCGGCGCCTCAAGAGCCATCGTGGGGCCATCTTCGGGCCGTCCAGGGGGCTTCCAGAGGCGTGGTGGGGTGATCTGGAGGGCCAGTAGGGACGTGTGGACATCGCAGTGGACCTGGAGAAACGATTTTTCATTGATCTGGCTTTTTGGGGGCTCGTCCTGGAGCTGACTTGTAGCGTCTCGGGAGGACTTTTGGGCCGTCTGGTGCCTAGCTTGGGCATCTCGGAGCGCTGTGGGACCTAGTCGAAGGCCCTCTGGGGCCGTCTTGGGTGCTCTGGGACCGTCGTGGGGCGACCAGGGGGGCCGTAGTGGGGCGACCAGGGGGGCCGGTTACGCCCCGCCAGCGCCCGCACTTCCCGCACGCACGTGTCCCTGCGTTGTAGTGTAGACTAGAGTGGCCCCGTGAACGAAACTCATGGCAAGCAGATGGACATGCTGCCCAGGACTCCTGGGTGCAAGGGACAGGGTTCAGGGGCCCGAAGAGAGGGATTCGGGGCTGGCTTGTGCCTGTGCTGGGCCTTCTTGTGGCCGTGCTGGGCCCTCCTGGGCCGCGGTCTTGGGACGGTCTGGAAGCCATCTTGAACTTGTCTTGAAGCGGTTTGGGACCATCTGGGCCAGGCCAGGGCCAAGCAAGCCAGGAGGCTAGCAGCATTCGATCCGCAAGGACGTTCAGTGCTTTCGCCTCTCAGAGGCCTCTTTTGATCGTCGTCAGGTCCGTCGTCGGGCCTCCAGGGGAGCATATCGGGGCGTCGGGCCCGCCTCGGCGGGTGCTGGACCACGACGAGGCAACCTGGGAGCATCTTTGCACGCGTCTTGGGGTCCCTTGGGCCTGCTGAGACCGTCTGGGGCACTGTGGCGACCTTCTTGGGGCAGCCCTGGCTTTCTTGGACCATGTGGGGTGGTCGAGGGGTGGTCAACAGGGCTGTCTTGCAGCTCTGCAGGGACCGTCGGAGCTTTCTTGGACCGTGCTGGGGCAGTCAGGGGCGATTTGCAGGCGACATTGGGATTCCATTGAGCTGTCTTGGGCGCACATGGGCCCGTCACGACGAGGATGAGAGCAGGATGACAAGCAGAAAAGGAGGAGGACCGATCAGATACCTTGATGTTCTCCGTAGGGGCCTTTAAGGGCGTTATTGGGGCCTTCACCTTGGCCGTGTTGGGGCCTCCTGGGAAGGCATGGTGTGGTCGTTTGTGGCCTTCTGGAACTTCCTGGAAACTTTGCGAAGACCGTCGACGAGAAGAGGCCGTGAGGGCCGAAGCAATTAAAAGTTCCCTGGAGTTCATGTTCTTTTCGGCTCTTGTGGGGATGGATTGTGGACCCCTTGGAGCTCCCATAGGGGGATCGTCGCGACCTTCATTCTGGCGGCCCCCTGGGATTGTAGTAGGCTGAGGGGGCTCTCCACATCCTTTCTTTGACTTATCGGGGCCGTCAACGGGCGCCCTGGGAGTTCGGTCGGACCAGCCCAGGAGTGGGTAGGCGGGAGGGGGTGCTGCTCCGCGGAATCGCGAAGTTCGCTGCCGACATTTCTCATGCTCAGACTGGGCCTGGCATATTTGCGCTGACTACGTCATTCCGCTTCCTCTGCGCCGCACATCTCCCTTGCCAACGACTGCACCAACATCATGTGTCCGCCTTGCTCGCACGTGCTGGCTACAATTCCATAAACGAAGACGTTGGGGTGCAATGTCGTGAAGAGCATCTCTCTGAGCAGCGATAGAGCTCTCTGCCACCGATCGCCTTCGTGGCACGCGCTGATCGCAGCGCTGTAGCTGATGTCTAGCCGTCTTGGACGCTGTGGGGACGAAAAAAAAACATAGCACAATGTGCGTTTCCCGAATGGAATGGGACGACTTGGGCCTCTTGGGACTCTCCCGGAGGCTCTCCTGAGCCGTCTTGGGGGCCTCCTGGCCTGCCTTTGGGGCCTCTGGGGCTGCCTTGGGGCTCCCAGGTGTGCTCTGAAGCCGTCTTGGCGCCCCCTGGAGCCTCTCGGAGCCGTCCCAAAGCCGTCTGAAGCCATTTGGGGGGCATCTGGACCCCCCCTGTTGGGGCCGGAACCAACTTTCAAGACAGAGACCCTTCTCGCACGCACAGGTCGCTGCATTGTAGAAGAGATGACAGTGGGCTCCAGGTTCACCTGCCGCATCTCGCTCAGCAGCGCGAGCGCCCGCTGCCACTGCCCGCCCTTCTCGCACGCGCTGATCCCAGCATTGCAGCTGATGAAGTCGGGCTCCAGCTTCGCATCACACATCTCGCTGAGCAGCGCCAGCGCCCGCTGCCACTGCTGACCTTTCTCGCACGCGCTGACCCCAACATTGTAGCTGATGACGTCGGGCTCCAGCTTGACTTCCCTCATCTCGCTTAGTAGCGCCAGCGCCCGCTGCCACTGCTCGCCCTTCTCGCACGCGCTAATGACAGCGCTGCAGCTGATGACGTTAGGCTCCAACTTCGCCTCCCACATCTCGCTCAGCAGTGCCAGCGCCCGCTGCCACTGCTCGCCCTTCTTGCACGCGCTGATCCCAGCGCTGTAGTTGATGACGTTGGGCTCCAAGCTCACCTGCCGCATCTCGCTCAGCAGCGCGAGCGCCTGCTGCCACTGATTGCTCTTCTCGCACGCGCTGATCCCAGCATTGTAGCTGATGACGTCGGGCTCCAAATATGTCTCGGCCATCTCGCTTAGTAGCGACAGGGCCCGCTGCCACTGCTGACCTTTCTCGCACGCGCTGATCCCAGCGTTGTAGCTGATGAAGTCGGGCTCCAGTTTCGTCTCGCCCATCTCGCTGAGCAACGACAGGGCCCGCTGCCACTGCTGACCTTTCTCGCAAGCGCAGATCCCAGAGTTGTAGATGATGTTGTCAGGCTCCAATTTCGTCTCGACCATCTGGCTGAGCAGCGACAGGGCCAGCTGCCACTGCTGACCGTTCTCACACGCGCTGATCCCAGCACTGTAGCTGATGACGTCGGGCTCTAGCTTCGCCTCCCACATCTCGCCGACCAGTGCCAGAGCCCGCTGCCACTGCTCGCCCTTCTCGCACGCGCTGATCCCGGCATTGTAGGAGACTAGGGCTGACCCGTGGACTCCGTCCACGACATCTTTCTGGAATGGTTCTCGGAGGAACGGCGCAGATTGTACCGAAAATCTACAAACACGGCGGCGGCTCGGGCGGCGGCAGCGAGACCGCGCCTTCGTGTCCGAGCTCTTGCAGCGCTGCAGCAGCTTGGCCCAGCGCACTGCTCGTTCACCCCCCTCCTATTGAGGACAGTTTCGAAGTCTCTCGGGGATGTGCGTCGAAGTCGAAGCCCATCTGAGGCGTCTCAGGAGCGCTCGGGGAAGGGCTCGGGAGGCCATCGGGGAAAGCCACCGAAAGCGCCGGGGAGGCTCGCAAGGATCTACAGGGAGGGCCCAAGAGAGCTTCAAGAAAATTTGAAATCCAGTGAACTCTTAAGAGAAACCGCTGTTGGGTCGGCCATCACCTCCGGGCGCGCCTTGATGGTGCGATCCAGTCGCATCACCGCCAACGGGAGGGTTTGTTCGCCATGTCCCATTCTGTTCGCCCAGAGGGTCTGTGGAGGCCTTCGGGCGAACAGAACGGGACAGGGCAAGGAATGGGGAAGACATGTCCGAATCTCCTGGGCCCCCCAGATGCTCGTCCGAAGAATGCGGAGAGGTCCCAGGGTCATATCAATTGGCTGCTGTCCCAGGGGTCCGGTCTGCTTGGCCCGAAGAGTTTGCCAAGGCCCCTGGGGGAACAGAATGGCACAGCATATCGGGCAAAGGGGGGCGGTAGCTGGCCTGTCAGACCCGGCGTTCGTCTTCTGCCCAAGCGGCGCGGGGCCCACGGGCCCCAGGGTTGGCGTCCCGCTGGGATTCCTCTTGTTCGCCCACAGGGTTGGAGGAGGCCTCCAGGCGAACAGAATGGGGCAGGACAATGAATGTGGGAGACTTGTCGCAAGCTCCCAGCCCCCCCAAGTGTGCGCCCGAAGGGTGTGGGGCCGCGTTGGCTCCCTCAAAGGGCCGTCTTGGAGCCGTCTAGGCCCGTCTTGAGGGCGCCGTTTGCCCTGATGGGGCCGTCTTGGTTCGTCGTGGGCCCCTCATGGGCGCGTCCGTAGGCCGTCCTGGGCCCATCGGGGTCCTCGTGGGGCTGTCTTGGAGCCGTCTGGGACCGTGAGGAGGCCGCCTTGGAGTCGTCTTGGGCCCCTCCTGTGCGCCTCCTTGGGCCGTCCTGGGCCCAGCAGGGGCCGTGTTGGCACCCTCTTGGGGCTGTCTTGGAGCCGTCTTGAGCCGTCGCAGCGCGCCTTGGGTTGTGCTGGGTCCGTCTTGGCCCGTCTTGGGGCCTTCCTGGGCGGTTCCTCGGACCCTCCTGGGACTTTCTGGGGCCTCTTGGTGCATCGGACCGCCGAAACGGCGGGAAACGCAAAGGGTGTAACAGTAAACAATGGAAAATTAACGATTTTTGCCAGCTGGGACTCTCTTGCCATCTTGGCCCGTCTTGAGGCCCCGAACGGGCGCGTCCTTGGGCCGTCCTGGGCGCACCCTCCTGGGACCGTCTTGGAATCGTCTTGGGCCGTCTTGAGCGCGCCTTGGGCCGTCCTGGGCCGGTCTGGGGCCGTGTTGGCACCCTCGCGGCGAGGAAGCTCGGAGGCGGGCTCGAGGCCTCTTCGGGGCCATTTTGGAAGCTGTTGGGGCCTCTGTAGGGGCCTCTTGGGCCTCCACTGGATTCGCTGCCCTCGGTCGGCAATCGTCGATCCTACGACGACTCTCCCCAACGGAGAAACATCGAAAGCCCTCGGAGCGTCCAACATTGTTCTTTTGTGCCTTCGATATGCCGGTCGCCTCTCGTCCGCTCCCCCCCTCCTGGAAGCAATTCTGAGGCCACTTAGGGCTTCGTGGGGGCCGTTTGGGGATCTCTTGGGGCGTTTTTGCCTGCGATATGCCTGTCGCCTCTCGTCCGCTCCCCCGCTCCTGGAGGGAATTCTGAAGGCACTGAAGCTTCGTGGGGGCCGTTTCGGAGCCTCTTCGGCCTTCGTTTGGGCCTCCCGGGGGGGCTCTTAGGGCCCTCTCGGGCCGTCTTGGGTGCCTCTTGGGCCGTCTTGGGGCCGTCTGAGACCCGCCTCGGCGCCTCTTGGGCTGTCGTGGGCCGTCTTGGGCCGCTCCTGGGGTCGTCTTGGGTGCCTCTTGGGCCGTCTTGGGCGCCTCCTGGGCCGTCCTGGGGCCGTCCTGGGGCGTCTTGGGACCGTCTGGGGGCCCTCCTGGCCCGTCTTGGGGCTCTCTTGGGGTCCTCTTCGGCCGTCTTGGAGCGGTCGGGAGGGCTTCTTGGGCCGTCTTGGAGCGTCGGGAAGCCGACGAGGCGAGGAGGCCGAAAACATCGAAAAACACAATAGAAATCGACGATTTCTGTCGCTCGGGGCCCTCTTGGGAGGCCTCTTGGGAGGCCTCTTCGGGCGTCTTGGACGCCTCTTGGGCCGCCTGGGGCGAATCTCGGGCGTCTTGGGCCCATCTTTAAGCGTGCCGGGGCTCTCCGGGGCCGTCTTGGGGGCTTCTGGGGGCCCTCTCGACATGTCCTGGGGCCTCCCTGGGCGGCCCGGGGCCAGCCCGGGGCGGTTTCGGTGCATTGGGGCCTGCGCCCTTCTGGCACGCACTGGGCCCTGCAATGTAGTAGAGACTAGGGCTGACCCGTTGACTACGCCCACGAAGCCTTTACAAACTTGCATGTGATTGCGGCCATGCTGCCGAAAAGCTGAAATCATAATGCTAGGCTCGACCATCGCTTTCCGCGCCTGCTACTGCTTGCTGCTGCTTGCTGCAGCTGTTGCGTGGTGTTGGTCATGCTTGCCGATGTTGCGTGCTGTTGCTACTTGTGGCTGCAGGGTGCTGCTGGTGGCTAGTCCTGCTTGGTGCGTACTGTTGCCCGCTGCCTGCTGCTGCCGCAACCTGCTGCCAGGAGAGGAGAGGAGATCGAGGAGGGAATGCAGACAAGCGAAGGGCGATCAACAAGAGGGAAACGGGAGGAGCGACGGCTGAGGAGACCGAGACGAGGAGAGAAAGAGGGAGAGCCGAGGGAGGAGGCGGGAGGGGCGAGGGACCCCTTGGGAGTCTCTTGGCGTCCTCTCGGGATGTCTCTCGGGGGGCCTCCCTGGGCCTGCGCGGGGCCTGCATTGGGGTCTCTCCGTCCACGTCAACCAGCGTGTCCGGCGTGTGCTTATTGCCAGCTGTTTCTGCAGACTGCTGCTTGCGAACGAACTGCCTGCTAGCGTTGGCTTGTGCTGGCTTTTTGCTGCTTGCTTGCGTGCTGGCTAGATAGCTCGTTTGCTGGATTGCATACTGTTTGCTGCTGCCGCTTGCTGGTGCTTGCTGCCGGAAGCTTTAGTGGGGCTCGCGTGCCTTAAACCTTGGCCTTGTCGTGACTTTGCGGGCCTTCTTGGGCTAGCTCAGAGCCCAGCTGGGCCTTCGAGGTGTAAGAGGGCCGTCGGAGAGGGCGTCCTGTGCCCTGTGGGCCGATCTTGAGCCGCCTTGGGGCCGTATGAAGGCCAAGGGGGGAACTTGAGAAGCGCACGCCTTCGTTTTCCTACGACGCTCCGTCGTGGCCGTGGCCGCCCGAGGAGGTCGGAGGAGGCGCACGGGCCCTGCGCCCCCAAGAAGGCAGAAGTCGCTGCGAAGCATGCCCTGGTGGCCGGCGGGCCCCACTCGCGAGGAGAACTCCTCGACGGGTCGTCCATTCAGACGGGGGCCGCTCCAGAGAAGGGGGGAACAGAAGGCTCCCATGGTCGCGTTATGTTCCGGGGTGGCTGTCACGTTCCCAGAACTCTACAAGTGATCTTCCCTCGGAAGCCTCCTCGAGGCGGTCGTGGGGATGTCTTGAGGCCTCTTGGAGGCCTCTTGGGACCTTAATTGGGCCTCTTGGGGGCCTCCTGGGGCTTCCGGCGGCTCTCTTGGGGGGCCTGCTGGCGGTCTCGGGGGTCGTCGTCTTGGGGCGAACGTGGCAACATATCAGCTCGAGATCCCCCCCAACTGGGGCTCCCTTGGAACCCTTTTGGAGCTGTCTGCGGCCGCCTTGGGGGCCTCTTAAACTGTTTTTGTGGTATCCTGGGCTGGCAGGGAGCCCTATTGGGGGCCTGTTCGAATGTCTGGGAGCGACATTGGGGGCCTCTTGGGCCGCTCGGAGAATACTTAAGCAGGGCGAAATATTTTCCTCTTGAGGTGAAGATGGCCATGCGGAGTTCGCGAGACAACGTCGGCGCCGCCGAACGGACGACGACCGTACGAGCTCTTTGCAGCAACCGGGGGGAGAGGGATGTATGTATTCATGTTGAATGGGGCCCGCTCGCGCGGGGAGTTGATGGGAGTGCGCGAGACGACGCAAGGCCCATCGTGGAAATATGATTACCGACCCCCCCTCCCCCATAGAATCTTAACACGGGCGGTGTGCGGGGTACGCGGATCCGATTTCTTCCGGTCCCCTGTTTTACTTTCATAACATGAATGTAAAACAGGGTAGAAATCGGATCCGCCGTAAAAAATGAGACCTGACACGGATCCAGTTAATCCGAAAACGGATCCGTACGGACGGAAATCGGATCCACCGAAACAAACACCAAAAGCACAATTGGATCCGCGCGAACTTCATGGGATCCGACGGCGGTTATCTCATACGGGTCTGTTCAAGACTTCACACCGTCGTTCCGGGCCCAAGAGGAAAAAAACTTTCGCCCTGGGGATGTAGGAAGCTCGAGAAGGCGAGAATATCAACATCCTCAGACAATCCTCCAACAATCTCAGGCAAATCAATAAGATTTGGCGTCCTCGTGACGTCGTCGGGATCCTCCTAGGTCGTCTTGGGCCGTCTTGGTAGCCTCCTGGCTTGTGTGGTCTAGCAGTCTGGAAACGCTTCTCACCGTCGTGAGGCCGTCTTGGCGACGTCTTGGGCCGTCTGGGTCACCTTGGGGCTCTCTGGAGGCCCGCCAGGGCCCGCTGGGAGCGATGTTTGCCACTGCGCGCCCCCACCCCTTTGGGCAAACTAGGGCGAACCTATGGACTGCCGTCCACGAGGTCTGTCTAAAGTGGAACGTGATGGCATGTGGGGATTGCCACATAAGCATAAACTTTCAGAGGTCTGCACGGATTCATTGGGTCGACGTTGGAGGCGTCGCCAGTGGAGATGCAGTGCAGGCCCAAGAAATCCGCGGGGACCTCCCACGAGGAGCGTCCAGCGAGGAGCGAGGAGGGAAAAACACCAGCCCAAGACAGAGAGGCGAGGAGGGACGAGGGAAAGCCAAGGAAGGGGGAGGAGCGAGGGCGAGGTGCGAGTGACCAGAAGGGAAGAGGGAGACGCCAGGAGAGGAGCAAGGAGGAGTGAGAAAAGAGGAGAGGCGAGAAGGGACTGGGGAGAGCCGAGGAGGGGGCAGGGACGAGGGGTGTCCGAGTAGCCGAAATTGAGGAGCAAGAGGGGAGCGCGGAGGCCTTCGAAGACAGGAGAAATGAGCGGGGAGAGAGGGTGGGGGACTGATGCGCGAGGCTTGAGAAGCGACCCGCACACGAATCTCCCAACGGCCTCGGAGCGCGTGTAAGTAGCCTAACACCTGGTCTCCCCTTGGGCCGGCCATGAAGACAACTTGAGGCCTCTTTGGAGGCCTCTGGGGCACCCTCGCGGCCATCCCGCACCTTCTGGGGCCACCAACGCGTCCCTTGTGACCCCTGGGGTGCCTTTTGTGCAGATGCAGGGGCGTTCGAGGAGGACCTTGGCGCAATCTTGTCCTGGGCCGTCTTGGGGCCAGGTCAGAAGCCAGCTGGGCCCATCTTGGTGGCGTCTGTAGCCGTCTAGAGGGCTCTTGCAGGACGGCTCTTGCAGGACCTGTGGGCCCGGGAGCCATGCCATGAGCCGTCAGGAATCGCAGCGTGAAGAGGACCTCGCATCCTGGGGCCCTGCGCGGAGCCATCCTGGAGTCACTCGGGGCCACTCCTGCGCCATCTTGGGGAGTCTTGTGGGCTCTTTCGGGCCGCCTGAAGCCCTCCGACGGCTACACACAGCCATCTCGGAACGCCCAGGGAGCGCCCAGGGGCCCTCGGGACTGCTCTGAGAGGCGCTGGGTGCGTTTTGCGGACTCCAGGGGCCCTCGCGGAGCTCCGAAAACTCAAGCAGTGCACAGGCGGTCTTCGCACGCATGCGCCTCTGACGTGTGAAAGAGAAGACGTCGGGCTCCATCTTCGCCTCCCACATCTCGCTGAGCAGCAGCAAGGCCTGGTACCACTGTCTGCCTTTCCCGCACGCGCTGATCCCAGCGTTGTAGCTGACTGCAATGAAAGTAGGATGTAGCACCTCGTAGCTGCTGATCTGAGTGAGGGGGCAAGCGCGGGGTGGGTCGCGGGTGTGTCGCGGACGGGTCGCGGGTGGGTCGCGGGGGTGTCGCGGGAGTCGCGGGTGGGTCGCAGGTGGGTCGCAGGTGGGTCGCGGGACGGTCGCGGTCGGGTCGCAGGTGGGTCGCGGGTGGGTCGCCAGGGTCGCGGGAGGGTCGCGGGCTGGGCCGCGAGTGGGACGACAATAACAACAACAATAATAGCAACATCAATAACAACAACAACAACAACAACAACAACAACAACAACAACAACAACAACAACAACAACAACAACAACAACAACAATTACTACCACGTGGGGACACTCCGTTCTCACCAGTGCCAGGGTTTTCATAGGAGGCGGGCAATACCCCAACTTTGTGGGGGGGCCGGTTCAAGCTCTACCAAATTTCCAAACGACTCTTCGCCACCACCCACACCCAGCTTCCCGCCCTATGACGTTCGGACACTTCACTTCGTGGCATGCGGACGACCGTGGCTACTATTCAGGGCCCCGCGGCCGACGACGACGGCGTGCGCGCGCGAAGAAAAAACGAATGTGTCCCGCATGGTATTATTTGACAGGGATGATGGCCCTGGCAGGTGCGCAACCGTTGTTGCAGAAGTTCGAAAAAGTTGCTCGCAAAAGCCCGTTTGACAGAAATGTTGAAAAAGTGTTGGGTTTCCTACGAATCCGCAAGAGCGCGCGGGATGAAATTTTGACATTTTTTTTTGAAAAAACATTGTTTTTTTATGTTTTTATGTTAAAATCGTTACGAAAACTAAGGTTTTGGAAGGATTTCGTCTTGCGCGCGCGAATGTCCACTTTACCTTATTTTTTGCAAGGGATTCTTGAAGTTTGGTTATGTTAGAACAAGAAATGTCCACTTTAGCTTGTTTTTTGCAAGGGAAAACCGCCCGTAACAACACAACCGGATCCGGACCAACCCGTTTTGCCTGAGACTTCCTCACGAAAATGATGAAAACGTGGCTGCGGCCTAGGCGCGGCGGGGGGGTCGTGCACCAGGGGTCCCAACAATAATTATTCTTTAGAAGTAATAATGTTCAACAACAACAACAACAACAACGACGACGACGACGACAACAACAACAACAACACCAACACCAACACCAACACCAACACCAACACCAACACCAACACCAACACCAACACCAACACCAACACCACCAACAACAACAATCATGTTAAAACGGTTCGCTCTTACTGGCACGCGTGTCTTGCATTCCGTATACCCCAACCCTCGACACCCGCCCATTTCGTCTTCGATTGCACCCCCTTTTCGGGGGGGGTCTCTTCCCTGTCGGCCACTGACGAAAGTGCGAAGAAGTCTCGAACCAGAGCGTTTTTCCTGAGTTCAGGGGCCTCTCTGGCCAAGGGCTCCCGGAATACTTTCGGAGAAAAACTTAACGAGAGCCTTTGTCGCCGTGTCCAGGCCTCCACCAACTTGCCCGAATTACGGGGCAGTCTCGAGCGAGAGCGCAGTTCCTGAGTTCGGGGGCCTTCTTGGCCAGGGGCTCTCGGAGTAAATCGTGAGGAACCCTTGTGGTCGTGGCTGGGCCTCCGCCAACTTAATTGAACTGGGAGGAAGTATCGAGCGAAAGCGCTGTTCCTGAGTTCGGGGGCCTCTCTGGCCAGGGTGTCTCGGGGTAAAATGTGAGGACGTATCGAACGGGAGCCGTTGTTGTCGTAGCTGGGCCTCCAAGGGCACCCATTTAAGTTCTTAAGGTCAAGCCAACGCTCGAGCGGGAGCCTCGTTTTCAGCGAAAATGTAGCCGCCGTCGAGGCGAGAGCGCGCGGAACCGTCTCTGGAGATCAACAATAATTAATCTTTTTGAAATGAATATTCAACATCAGCAACAACAAACAAAAGCAGCAACAACAACAACCACGACAACAACAACAGCAGCAACAACAACAAGAGCAACAACAGCAACAACAACGACAACAATACTAATCATTTTAAGCCAGTTCGGGTATTCATGGGAGGAGGAACGAGACACGGTGGGGATAAGGAGAAAAACCAAGGCGAGAGCGTGATTCCTGAATGTCGAGGGCGTGGTGCCTTAGTACATTGTGAGGTCGTACCATGCGAGAAAGCGATTCCTGCATACATTGTGCGGACCTCAAGGGAGTCCAGGGCGATGTTGAAATTTATCGTGAAGACGTTACCGGTGGGAACGTGTAATTCGTGGACCAGCGGCCCGATCAGAACTTCAATAATTCCCATTGACAAAAAAAAGGTGCGAGCTCAATTCAGAGCACTATACTTGAACATAACAGTGGGCACTGGGTGGCGGGGTTTAACAATACTTTGTCGTTAGACATACAGCTTCGACAACAACAACACACTCCGGCAACAACAACAATAACAACAGCAGCATCAACAGCAACATAAACAACGATACGTATCATATCAAAACTGTACGTTCTGATCCGCTCGCGTGACATTCAACATGTACATCCAAACGCTCGGTACCCACCCTCTTCGTAAACGATCGTACCCCCTTTGGGGGATACCTGCTTTTTACCTGCAAGGTGTATCTCGTACAGCACCCAAGACAGGCGAAGAGTGGATGGATGGAAGGAAGGGGCAGGGGGGAGAGAGGAAAATGGGGTACGAGAGAGAATAGCAAGAGGGTGGATCAGAACAGATAGCACGTGGCAGAACCACACGGGCGGATCGGGCGGGTAGACTCTGGCATGCGGGCCGCTTAGGCCAGGTCGAGCAGCCGCGTTGCTGCAGCGTGCAAAAGCCGTGAAGTTTCCTTCGTACCTGGTGCCGACCGAAGTTTCCTTCGTACCTGGTGCCGATCCTCAAGATTGCAGCGTGCATTGTCAGCGATCTGCGCCGGTGCCTCCCTGGCGCGTTCTGCGTGCCGCGGACGGCCCGACAGCCCCCAGCGGTGACCCCGTCGTCGTCGTCGTCGTCGTCGTCGTCGTCGTCGTCGTCCATTTCTTCCTCCTCCTCCTCCTCCTCCTCGTCCTCCTCCTCGTCCTCCTCCTCCTCCCCCTCCTCCTCCTCCTCCTCCCCCGTCGTCTTCCCTCCTCATTCCTCCTGCTCCTTCCCCTCCTGCTCCCCCTCTTCTTCTTTCCCCGAGGCCCAGAAGCTCCTCCGACCCAATCCTTTTTCCAAAGGCGCTTTGACGCCTCCGTCAAAATGCCCCGAAATCGCCCAGCTCAATGTTAAAGCGTTTCCCAAGGGCCCGCGTGCTTCTCACCGAAGTTCTGACATTTCTCTGAAAGGACCCCCCGTGCATGGGGAGCTATCACGATGGATGCGTGCTGCATATAGAACCCTACAACATTCTGCAACATTCGCAGTTGCAAAAAAAAAAAAAAAAAAAAAAAAAAAAAAAAAATGTGTATGAGCATATATGGAAGCATTCTTCTTTAGATTCATATTCGGATTTGGCTGGAAGCGAAACGCTGCGATCAATAGTGGGCGCGTCTGCAAAGGAGGCACTACTATCAACGAGACAGCACATTCTTTTTGCGCTCATTCCAAACGAGACGCTGCTATGCAAGGGTGTAGGTGCAAACGAGACGCTGCTATCAAAGGCTTCCGCCCCAAACGAGACACGAGTATCAATGGATTTAATTTCGAACGAGACACTACTACTTACTACTACGGATGCGTCTGGAAACGAGACGCTGCCATCAATAGTGGATGTCTCTGCAAAGGAGGCACTGCCATCAACGAGACAGCACATTGTTTTTGCGTTCATTCCAAACGAGACGCTGCTATCAATGGATGTAAGTCCAAACGAGACACTGCCATCAAAGGATTCAGCCTCGAACGAAACGTGCTGAGGAGCACCGTATCTCACTATTCACGGCTGCACACGATGCAGGTTGAGAAGCACCACACAAATGCAGGCTGAGAAGAACCACGCGAATGCAGACGGCCAGGCTGAACAGCACCGCCACAAAGCAGGCTGCATCTCAGGGCTCTTCAAGCTCGCGCAGGCCAGCCCAGCGCCTGTCGGGCCTTCGCGCAGGCGATTATTGTCGTGGCAATCTTGTCTGCGAAGAATTCGTCGAAGGCCGTCGCGATCTGTTCTGGGGGGCCTGACTCGATGATGCTCCGGTCAGGCAAGCCGTGGCTCAAGAGCTGACCGAAGCTCCTGGGCCGCGACAGGCTGACGTAGTAGGCCAGCCAAATGGACTCTTTCTTGAGTCCTGGCGGAAACGTCCAGTGCACGATGAAGCCTGGGTCCGCCGTCTTGCCCTGCACGCCATGCAGAGTGCCCTGCTTCTTGGGCAGCACGGTCAACTGTGTCCTGGAGACCGCGATGGCCTGGCCATCCGCCGTTGCTTTGAACTTCCAGGGACGGGCCTGCGGGGTAATCGCGAGCACTCCACGCAGGTCAGGGCCGGCAGGCTGAGAAGCACTGCCAGCAGTCACCGGCGCGGCCTTCAAGAAGAGCTCATCGCTGTCATCGATCTTGACATAGACGGCCTTGGGCATGTAGCGGAGCACCGCAACACCATCCGAGACAACGGACGCGCGACCCTCCACCGGAGGCTCCAGAGCGTGCTGCTCTATGCCTACCACCTTGCCCGGCGCGCCGCGGACATACTTAGGCGGCAAGACGGACTCCGTCAGGATGACCTCCATGCCGAGGAAGAGCCGCAGCAGCCCCGGCATTTCTCCAATAGCGCCGATGTTGGGCTCCGCGCGCATCTTGTCGAACTCAGGCTTCGCGAGGCGCGCAGCTGGTTTGTCGACTGCCGGCGCGTAGAAGAGCAGCTGGCCAGCATCGTGCGCATCAAGCTTGGCCTGCGCATGCATGGCGTAAGAGACGACGCGCCACTCATATGCCGACTCATCTGGCGACTCGTACTACCACTACTACCACTACCACTACCACTACTACTACTACTACTACTACTACCACTACTACTACTACTACTACTACTACTACTACTACTAC